CAGGGAAGACCCAGGGTTTCCATCAGGCAGGAGGAATGGCCTGGACGTGTGTGGGGACACGAACACACTGGCCCGGCCCGCTGCCTGGACTGACCCCTGGGCTGGACCCGTGCAGTGGCAATCTCTTATTGTCACTCAGCTAAAGCGGGGATGACAAGCACGTTGACGCTGTGACCACCCTGGTGATGGCTGCAGGCCACAGTCTCAACTGTTGCCATGCCCACTGCTGACAGCGAGTGGGAAATACTCTTTCTTAGGGGGGAAAGAAAGTTTTCTCTTAGTGGTTGTGGAGGGCTATGTGCTGGGTTCCTGCTCTTCATCAAGCCAGGCTGTCACAGGAGAGGTCAGAAATCATTTATTTTTAACGCTATGAATATGTAGAAACTTGTCTGAGCTTCTCCACGCAGTGGCCATGAATTTAGAAACAGTGTCAGAAATCACAGCATTCGGTATCCTGCGAAACGGGTCAGAGCCATAAATTTCTGTTATTGGTGTGCGAGCCATTTGCTATACGTGACTTTCTGAATTTGTGGTCATTTCTCTCTCTACCCCTGGGTGCTGAGTGTATGACTGAGATTTTATATTGCGCCTCTGAGACACAAAGCCCTTCTGGTGCTTTTGCCTGGCATCCTAAACAGGCTCGCTCGCTCTCTTCCCTGTCCCCTTCGCTAATGGCTTCTGGCCGCAGCCTGGCCCTTAAATCACAGGCTGAACCTGGACAGGCATAAACTGCGACTTTCCCTGACAGAGGGTGTTTGTTCAGAGGGGCGAGTGAGCGATGGTGGCTCTGAACACACGTGCTTCAGCCTTGTGAGAATGGCTGCTCCCGTGCTAAGCCCCAGACGGCTCCTCCGACACGGCACCAGAGCCTCTGCCCATGAAGGAAAGTCCTGCAAAAACCTCTGAAACGTGAGTGAGCATTTTCAAGGACAGCCCTGAATGCAAAGAGAGGAAATGTTCAGTGTAGGTATCGTGGGGGCTATGTTAAAGTGATCTCTGCCTTGGGAGGAAAGATTAAGCTAAGTTCACATTTTGGGGACTGGAAGGCGGTGTTGCTATCCTCCTCCGCTTCACTGCCTGTACTCGTTCTAGATATAAAAGCTTTTTTTACGGCAAGACTATTTTCGCTCAGTGAATTAAAATGAAGAATTTGCAACCCTTCCTTCCCCAGCGCACGTGTTCCCAGCAGCAGTGATCCCTGACTGGTCCCAGCCCCTCCGGTCAGCCTGGGACAGGAGGCAAAGCCCAGCAGCGGGACGGTGAGGTGTCCCCACGCATCGAAATGGGGCTGCCACATTCTACAGATCTGCTCCCTCGCAGCCTGGTGAATCGCTGAAGACAGCAGATGTGATTGAGATGATTCCTAACTAATTTTTAATCTTTTTGGCACAGCAGTGCCAATGCACAAACGTGACCTCTATCAGCGGGACTTTTTGTTAAATTCTGGTGTTGTCACAGTGGTGCGACCCCGTTGGGGCGGTTTGGTGTATTAAAACAGGAAAAGTGGATTTCCTCAGATGCTGCTGAGAATCGCACCTCGCCTGCGGGTCGCTGCTGAAAGCACAGGTGTCGTCAGGGCCCCGGCCCAATTGTGGGGGCAGAGCAGGACATTTGGAACTGCACGCTCTGGGTCAAAGGCAGCTAATACAGCCCCAGCTATGAACTCACAGCCGCTTTCACAGCCAAGGACTCCAGCAGCCCACACGCACCACTTTGTTCTGTCCCTCCTTCCCAGCACCACCCAGGAGCTGAAGTAACAGCACCCAAAAAGGCCCATCGCGATAAGGTTTCTGTGCTTGTTAAATGTGAACCTTCGAGCCTTTTCAGTTTAACCCTTTCCCAAGTCTATTAGGTTGTGGTTGGTTGGTTTTGGGGGGGAGTGGTGGGGTTTTAAATGGCAAGGTTTTCTGGATTTCTGACCTGTTGGTGTGTATGTAGAGCACTTCCCATCATCCATCAGGGCCCTGCCATTCTGTATAAAAGCAGAGAGAAAGCACCTTTGCCATTGTGGATTTTCAACTACAAATTGCTGGAAGGTGCTATTTGTGAAACCAGCACGAGCTTCGTGTATTTAGCAAGAAATAGGCGTCAGGCGAAGGAAAGAGCAGGAAACGGCTGGTGGTGCAGGGCTATGAATGTGGAAACAGGTTAATGATAGGAACTGTTTTGTAGGTGCTAGTAGACATGAGCAACGGTAAGTTTTGAAAGCAATGGCTTCACAGGAGTTATCCCAGAAGAACCCCTCTGAAGCTACAGCTATGGCAAATGCTGTTCACTGTTGCCACTGCAGACAGAAATTGGAGGAGGCGAGAGCATCCCAGAAGATCTCAGCAGCTTTCTTTCCATTTTTTCAAGCCTCCATGCACAGCTTCAGTGTTAACTCACCTTCTCCCCTATATTTCCAAGTTCCACAACCTTTTAATGAAAGGACAACCCAGCCTTCAAAAACAAATCCAAGGGCTGCTATGCTTTGAAGAAAGGATGGTCTTGTAAAGCAAACACTTACAACCAAAAGGAAAAAAGTCATTAAATTTTGATTGTTATGGTAAAGAGTAGGACAGAGGCTAGGAAGTCTTAACTGCTTTGTTTTGTTCCTTAGAGAGGGGAACTGTGCTCATCTGGCTTTAAATCATAACAGCACCTTCCCGATGGCCTTTTGTCTCCCAGCTTCGAGTGTTTCTGAACCAGCTGAAGGCCAATTTCTTGCTAAGGGCTTTTGTCTCACTCCCTCCTACAGCTTTGTGATGGAACTTACGCTATTTTGTGGAAGGAAGTAGATGCAGCAGCGAGTGCAGTACCTCTTGGCTGAGGTTAGGTTTATTTGAACTTCCTATTTCCAAAGTGGTCAACTGATCACTTATTCACAATTATACTTTAAACGTGGTCAAGGGCTGCAGTCCACAGTAAGTCAGTCTACTTTCTCCCACTCTTAGCCCCCTCTGCTGTGTAACCACCTCCTGAGTCTGTTGTCAAGCCATGCCTGTTTCCCTAGTGATGCTACGCTGCATCTTCCCAGCCCCGGGAAGGGCAACATTGAAGGACAGCACAAAAGTGCTTTTTTCAGCCCTCCAGCCACTGACCAGCTCTGGCAGCGAAGAGTTGTGAGCAAGTGTAGGGTTCAGTGTCTCTGGTACCCCTCTTAAGGACTTCAGTTGCCCACCCTGAGCCCCAAAGCAATAACATTTCTGCTGGGATGGGCCTTCCTCTCGGGAAGGTGCAAACTGCAATCCCCGTGCCTGTGGGGATGAATCGAGTCTGTTACTTGAACGCAGGCGTAGATCAAATGCATCTGTCTTTAAGTTTGCTTTCCAGTTCTGACCCCCGCTGTGAGGCATTAAGCCCTGCAGTATCTCGTCAATACGGCTAAACCACATTCATTTCTAGTGACTGCCGCTTGCAGGATTCACCGGTGTGGTGAGACCTGAGCTGGTTTGCCCGGCTCCTGGGGCAGTGAGGGTGCTCAGACTGAAGCTCTCAGTCAGTGGCTGGCCCATTTTAAAAGGGGAAAAAAAAAAAAAAAGGGGGGGGGGCAAATCAAGAAACCCCTGGAAGAACGTGACACACCCCCTTCCGGCAGTTTAGGTCTGACAAACTTAATCCAGAAGGAACTACAGCCTGCGCTGTTACTCCCTGAAATGCAGAGCCTGCTTGTTGCTGCACAGCTGTCCCCAGCCGATGCTCAGCGCTGTAGAACATTTTAAAGATGCCGTTCACACAACAAGGTGGGATTATAACTGTGTACGCTCTGTTTTGTTCATAATGCCGAGGAGCTCTCTGACTAAACACACCTTTCTCTTCCCAGCCATCGTTAACCAGTTACTCTTCTTTCAGCTCAACTTCAATCTGCCACTTAACCATTAACTGTGCCTGTCTGTACCTAAAAATTATTTGAAATGAAACACTCAATTATTACTGAGCATAAACACCCAGAACAAGGCTGTGATTTGATTTATTTCAGAAATTATAAAGTACTCAGGCACTAAACTCTTGTTCTCTCCAACAGCAGCCGAGCCACTAAACTGACGACACGTGGATTAACCAAACAGTCCAGCAAATCATTGGTAGAAAGGGCTGTTTGTGAGGGATTTGGACCGCCGTCTGAATCCATTTGATGTGCAGGCATTTCACAGTCATTACTCATTACCAATTGCTTCCTGGTGCAGTGTAATTTTCCAAAATGTCCTCCTTCATTTTCATGGAGAAGATCTCCACCGTCACTTTTGACTGCAACCGCACCCATCAAGCTTGTTTCTTGAGACTGTGGTAAAACTTGAATAAGATGAGGCCCAAAAGGTATGTCCTGCAACTCTTCTGCTTTAAGTGTTGAAAAGCCAAATTCATGGCTTGGTAATCCGCAGCCCTCTGGTTCACAGCCAACTTCCCTTTTCTTCCTCTTGCACGAGACACCTCTCCTTTGCTCTGTGCCAGTGCTGCTGGGATGTACCAGCTCTGACACTCGTGCCAGCTCCGACACACGTGCCTTCTGACACTTGAAATATGCCGACACTGCTTTATTCAGGTACTGAAGATTGATTTCATGGGATGTTGCCTCAACCTAAGAAAACACCCGGGATACGCTCAGTTAAAAGGAGAAATGTTTCAATTTAGTGTTGCATGATCATCTTCCATGAATTACTTTTGCTACATGAAGGGAAGGAATTTAAAATTCTTTTTCTCAGGCAGCAGGAAGACTCAGGGGGAGCTAAGCAAAATGTCAGTAATTCTGTTATCGTTGCTGTAATGGGAGCAAGAGAGGGCTTACCTCTGTGGGATTGAGCCAGAGATCTCCATCGCTGGGATTTTCTGCTGATTTTATAGCACACACCAGCATTCGAGTTATTGCTTCTTCTACACGGGCTTCATGATCTGCATCCTGCCGCAAGGGAACAGAAAGTGTTTGGAGAGAGGTTAGCACTTGGGTGTCTGCGGAAACGTGGAAGTTCTGGGGAAGAACTGGATGGATGGCCTTAGTTTGAAAGCCACGCTCATGTATGTGAAGTCAGTGAAAGGCTTCAGACTTTTGATGCTCCCCCACATGCGTACAGCCCCCACGTGAGTAACAGCACAGGCTTTGGTGGGACTGCTCGTCGCAAAAAGTAGATTCTCGTGTGTGTATATAATCTTTTTCCTTACTAGTGTTCCATTAATTGAATCTGGTGCTTGAAATTACAATGCAATGGTAGCATTTAATTAATGTATGCATTTATATAGCTCTTCAGGACTAGAAGGACCATGAAAGTACATAGCAAATTTTATATATCTACGTATTGTCTAATTTAAGTACTTAAAACACACAGGATGTTACAGCAAGGCAGCAACTATCTGGGGGCTACAGAGGCCCAAAAAAGAGTCTTAAGGAAATTCAGGAAATATTTTATGATGTAATAGCAGCTGACATACTGCTGCAGTTTTAAACATCGGCAGAAGGAGAAACATGTTTCCTCTGAAAGCTGTCCTGCAAAACTAAATACTAAGTTAGTAACTGGTTCTTTGTTCTGGGCCTTCACTTTCTGCATCATCCCCTTGTGCAGCTGGGTACTAGCTCATTTAGGGTAACAGAACAAAATTTTATGGCATCTTTTTAAGCCTTCTTTCCTACTTAAATGAATTTATTTTATGTGGAAGGAGACAATAAGACTCCAAAGAAGATGGGTGGCATAGTTATTTCAATGACAAGTGCCTGGGAGTGGATACATGAATTTGCTTTTGTTGAGATGCTTAGGCATACAAGTTTTGGAAGAAAGACATAACCTTGTCAACCCACTGCCCTGAACCACCTAATTGTGGCTATGGGGAACATGTCAAGCAAACCATGCATCTTGCTACTATGAGTGGTGAAGGAAGTAATTCATCCCGAAACCCTGAGCAGAGTTTGGGATAGAAGCAGGGGGAAGTGCACTTAGCATATTGTGCTCTTGGATGCTTGGTGTATCAATGGCCTCGTATAACAAGCCCCCAAAACACAGAGTTTGGTATCTACACGTGGAAATTATTGAAGGTGTTGCACTCTGGTATTCATCCTGGTCTGCTGAATAACAGGGTTATACTGATTGCACGAGAGTATATTAGGAAGCGAGGAATACTTTGAGTAGCTCACAACCAGCTGAAAACAAATTAAACTCCTAGTCTAAAGTCTTGCCAATATAATTAATAGTTTCACTAGGACTATAAATGTTGGCGTGGTTCACATCTGTCAATATGAAAGCAGCTGGTAACAGCTGCAAGCAAGAACTGCTTGACTTGGTAATGGCAATATTCTCAGTGTTGTCTTTTAGCATCCACATCAGAATTTATTTTTATGGATGGATTGCCCCACTCCTAACAGTGCTCCCATCATCAGCTGTAGGGATAATTTCTGTAAGGAACTTTCACGGGGGTTGCTATAGCTACACTTGTTTATGGCAACTTTTGATATTTGGGGAGGAGGAGTGTGTGTGTCATTCATTAGCAAGATCTGGCAAACAGTTCTCGGCTAATGATGCCATATACAACTACCGCTCTGTCACCAAACAGGATCTTTGTGACTTCTGCAAGACTTTTATGACCAGAAAGGTCATGGAGTTTAGCTCCACTACTTTTTTTTTCTTGCAGCACATAAGAAGAGCTAGAAATTCCATTAGCTAATGCACGACCCAGGCACCTGGGAGTTACCAGCCTGGCCCAACTGATCCAGTCCTGACCTGCTCCTCCAGAGGGGGACAATTTGTGAGGCACAACCCAGGGTACAAGTGTGTGCGTTGACATCAGGGTCTTTCCAAGCATGGGGCACCCAGCCAGTTCCTCTGAATTACCTCAAAGGCTGCTCAAATTTAAGGCAGGTTTAAATGGTTGCTCTACAACATTTCTGGTGCTTTCTCTGGCACTTGACACCACCTGACTGTACTTAGGGCTATATAAGAACTCAGTATGGGCTGTTGGCCTGCTGTCCTTTCTAAATACATAGTCTCATCTGGAAGATTTCTCCATGAGGAAAACACCCAGGTGAGTTCCTCTACTCTGCAAATGCTTGGTTTGATGTTGGTATAAGAAATGGATCGTGTAGTCTTTCAACAGCAGTTGAACGCATGTGTTCACTCCCCTGCAGATTTCCAGTCTAATAAAGGTTTAAAAAAAAAAAAAAAAAGGCACTAAGTATTTTAGTGAGGCAGCTTTCACAGGCCATTTCAAAGGGTCTTTTTTATACTAAGCTAGGATTAATGATAAAGTAATTTGAATCAGAAAACCTTCTGGAGCATTGAGATGATATCCCTGGAACCATCCCATACACACTGGTTAACATGAGCAAGAAAAATCAAAGCCTGGGGAAAAGAAAATTAATTACGTACTTGAGAAAATCCAACTCCAGGCAAATCAAAACTACCACAGTGAAATGAAAAATCAAAAATCCTCTGCCACCCCCTTCCTATCACATTAATCTGATTTAAATTCTAATTTAGCTTTGCACGTAAGCATGTGTTTGAGGTGAAGCTGCTGTTTTGTCGTCCCCTGTTCACCACAAAGCTAGCTGTAGTCCATAAGAAATTGGACATGAAAAGTTTAGCTTGTGTTTAATTGTTTACCTGATTGAGGTAAACTTGCATGTGATTTCTGCTGAACTGGGGCTTCAGATCTGGAACCTTGGCAGTTTCTTCAGGAAAAACTGTATCTATAAGGGCTCTTTCCTCACCAGCCTCTGAATACAGCACACCCAAGCTGAACCGGGCAGGCAAGGGGCAAAATGCTTCAGCCTTGATTCTTACGAAAGTTCCTGCTCAATGCAGCTAAGCAGGAAATGCAGCTTGAGTTCTGAGTGGTACAATTTCTCTCCTCGGGTCATATTCTTTTCACTGTTTTCATGCTAGAGATGCTTCTTTTCTCCCCCCACTTTCTCTAGCAAAAACCTGGAATTGGATACTGTGCTACTGGCAAAGCATACTTGCAGTGGCGGTGGCTGACAAGTGATGCTACTAGAACATGCAAGTCTGCAAAGGTTTCTGGGATCCTCAGGATAAAAGATGCTATATAAATGTAAGCACCATTGACGCTGCTCAAAAGTGTCCCATGAGGTCATCAAATCTGGGACAGGATTACTTGTGCCAGTTTTCCTACTCTTTACAATATATGCAAACATGGAAGTGCTACATCATCATGACATAAAAAGGAAAATACCAGTTCAATCCAAGAGTTTATGCTGACAGTGATGGGGTCGATGGATTCCACATAGTGCCACCATTGCCTTGGAACGAGCAGGACCTGGAATCAGAGACATCGCATTAGGGTACTAGCAGAGGCCTGAAGAAAGATAAGGTGTTTTCACAGAATGGTTTAGGTTGGAAGGCACCTTGAAGATCGAGTTCCAACCCCCCTGCCATAGACAGGGACACTTCCCACTAGACCAGGTTGCCCAAGACCATGTCCAGCCTGGCCTTGAACAATTAATTAAGGTGATGTGGGATGCAGAGGCAGAATGAGGCAAGGAATAGGGTGGTTGGTGATCTTTATTTCTTTCTTCTAAAGAGCCTTTTCTCAAGACTTAAATGCCCACTCTCTCCTCCCATTGTATCAATATTATCATATGAGAAGTAGACATGATCTGGAACTACCTCTCATCCAAAATCCTTCTCACGTGAAGCAGGATTGTAACCATACAGCTGTTCTAGGTAAGCAAGGTCTGGCTGCACAAAGGGAGCGCAGCTGGTGGAGCAGTAGAGCAGGGCTTTAGAGAAAGTCTCAGCCAAGCAAGAATGCTTTTGTAGACTCTCCAACTGAGCAGACTTCTCAGTTCCTTTACAGGAACTGCCAGCTGGCTTCCCCAAAAAGCAGGTATTTTAATGCTCATCGAGGTGATTAACAATATGTAGCTTTAATTCTGGTAAATACTCACCAGTATTAAACTTGTCACTTTTAGTTGACAGGCTTTTAAAAGAAGGTATCCCAGAAATCATGACAATCTAGTTTAGATCAGAGCTTTGCAACTATATCAGGATGATAGCTGTGACATAAAATTGATTCTAACCCACAGCTTTTATGGTACAAAGACATTAATGTTGTTTTGATGATATAGTACGAGCTTTACAGATTACTGAACATTAGATTAACATAGAGCTATCAAGAAAAGCATAAAAGATGGGTTTTGACAGGGAATAAAAATGGTCAGAGATGGATAAAAATATACACTTCAGAACGGAGAAAATGAAGCAATGATCTGTATCTGAATTGCAGACAATTCTTTTTCTTGGTAGACACAAATTACTTAAAAGAATGTTCTGCTACCTAGATAGCCCTGTGCTTCATTATATCAAAACACGGATAATGAGAAAATCTCTGCGTAGGAAACAATGACTGAGGCCCTGGTCCTGCAAACGCTTACTTACGCGACAGTCAGAGCAGAGGCATTTTTGGGCCACAGGACAAAATGTTCTCCACAGATTCCAGTTTAAGTGAAATAAAAAAAGCATTGGCTCTCTAAGGGTCAAAAACATTTGGAAATTATACTTTAATCCAGTACAGCATACAAAACAGAAGGAAGTCAGTCTATGGAGGGCCATTATTTAAAAAATATCACCAATTAGTTGTTCCTGACATCTAAAATTGTACGAAACCCTACACAAACTGAAGCTGAAACATGTTTTCTACACAGAACAAATTTCAGTGGTGCTTTTATCATAGAAACCTACACTTTAAATGAAAAGTGCAGTTGTGTTAGCTGCAATGGGTTTATCTGTTAGCAAGTGTTTGTCCACGTTTCATTGATGGCAGAATCATACAAAAACCCACTCATCTGTTCTATAGGGAATCTTACGTTGCACTCTGTTAAAGAATCTGGGTGCCATCCAATTGACAGGGTATAATGACTAAACATGGAAAATTTTGGTGTACAGCAGAAGGTGGCATAGCTTCTGGAGTAAGCAGCTGCTTTCAACAATGGGGTCCTTACTGTGAGACTTGGGTAGCAAGAATGAGCTTGCAACATGCTGGAGAAGTGGATGAAGACGCTAGGGAATTGGGGCATGCTGCAGAGGGAGTACGTAGCAAGGGAGCGAAAGCACGAGGCAAATTAAGGGAAGTGTATAAACGTTTCAGTAAGAGGGGGTGCCTGGAAAAACCAAGATGGAAATTAGGAATGGAAAGCACTGGCTCAACGTGATTCATGTGCAAAGCAAAGACAGAATTGCTTTGGAAAGAGGAGATATAGCTAGGAGGAAAATACAAATGCCCCCAACTAGTCCAGTCTTTTCAAACCAAAGAGGAGGAACTTGGTCTTTGGAGAGACTAATCGGGTTGTACTTGCCAGCAGGTTAAGGGTAATAACTGCGAAGTTGTGTATTTCTGCAGCTGGCACTGTTTGCTGATGCAACTTATAGAGGAGTGACAGAGCTGTGACTTGGAGGCAAAACAGGTACCATAAAGATACTTGCTTTCCCTCTTTATTTTTGGGCAAGCTTACACTAGTTAAAATAAGGATTTACGTCAGCGAGAACATTGAAATTATCAAAAAGCAAAAGGACTAAAACTTTAATGAAGATGAAGAAATGGGGAAAAAGTAATTAAAACCAAAAAATAGAGCTGGCCAGGGAGCAGCAGACCTAACAGAAGACAAAAAAAAAAATAACCCAGCAAAGAGAGTAGAGTAGGATTCAAACCTTTCTTCTAGGTTTGCAAACTAGAAGCAAAAAAAACCCACCGCCACCACCCCCAAGTATCAATTCCACAATATTTTTGAATATGGGACACAGATTCAGCTCCATTTGACATTACATTTCAATAGGAAATGTGAAAGTAAACGACAGTGAAATAAAACACACACAAATGCAGCAAACATTTTACAGGCAAAACATGAAGTGCAAAAGACAAAACTCTTCCAAGCTAAGAGATAATTTTGTGTTAGCCTGCTTTCCGCAGAATATATGGAACTTTGTGGGCTGGGAAGATACTGATCTAAACAGCAACCAATCAGATAATTTTAATATTCAGGGTAGTGATAGGCAAATATAGCAGATAAAGTCCAAGTAGGACAGAAATCCCAGAAAAAGATAAAATGAAATTCTGGTCTGTAACGGGAGGAAAGAAACCAAGAGAGCAGTTGGGAGAGCAAGCGGAGCAATGCTGAAGACTTGTACAGCACAGAGAACAGAACAGGTTTAAATTCTCAGTGGACGTGATTAACTTGATACAGTGCAAAGGTAGGGCAAAGGTGGAATTGCTTCAAAAAGAGAGCATACCCTGAAGTGAAATATTATACCAAGAAAATCCTGCTTATTAGAAAAAGATATTTGGGTAAATGCACAAGAAAAGGAAGCACCAAAGAACGCCAGTGTGATGGGAAGGTAAACATGGGGGGCTGTGGGGGTACCCAAGCAAATCCCAGAGTTGCTTGCCACCCTGGCAATGAAAAATAACATAAAATAAAATGCATAGTCAACTCTGTGGGGGCACCGTGTGAGGACTCTGTGAGAGCGCTGCCCGCCCAGCCTGTGCTCCGTCCCAGCACGGCGGTGCCTGGCTGCCCTGGTGCGAGGGAGGTGCTCCTGACCCTGCCTCCCTCCTGAGCTGGTGTCTTCCCATCTGCAGGAACAGAGCTCCCAAGGAAACGGACTGCAGGAACACAGACACTGCCCCGGGGAGAAGCACTCTGAACGGGAAGGGAATGGGGCTGTTACCATGCCGCATCCGTAGGGACCCAGGCGAGGGACTGAGGGAAGCTCAGGGAAGAGGTGGAAAAGTCAAGCTAGGAACTGGCATCTTTCACCTTTGGTTTGCTTGACTTTTTGGGCACTCACGGGGTTCTCCATGTGTGTGACAGGCCGAGTGGTGTTTTCATCACTGATTCTAGTGTAAATTCAGCTCCTGGACTTTTCTGCCTCTTCTGTGATGGAGACGATAGTTCTGGTGACTAGAGGTTGAGCTGGGCTGTCTGCCTTCTCTATGGGGTGACTTGGGGCCAGCTCTGTAGTCTCCCACAGGAAAATTCTTTCTCCCTTCTCCAAAACAGAATTATCAATCATCTGCTACGTATAATGCTGCAGATAACTGAATTCTCCTTTACTAAAATCACTTAAACTCTTCTCCAACAAAAGCAGATTTTTCATTGCAACACTTTTTAAAAAGTTTATTATATACTTCGAACTGGAACATTTCACAGAATCACAGAATTTTTAGAGTTGGAAGGGACCTCTAGAGATCATCTAGTCCAACTCCCCTGCTAAAGCAGGACTGCCCAGAGCACATTACTCAGGACTGCATCCAGGCGGGGTTTGAAAATCTCCAGAGAAGGGGACTCCACAACCTCCCTGGGCAGCCTGTGCCAGTGCTCTGTCACCCAAACTGTAAAGAAGTTTTTCCGTGTGTTGGAATGGAACTTCCTATGTTCCAACTTGCGCCCATTACCCCTCGTCCTGTCACTGGGAACCACCGAGAAGAGTCTGGCTCCATCCTCCTTCAACCCACCCTTTAGATATTAGATATTTATAAGCAATAATTTCATTGCCTTTTAAAAAGTATGAACTGCTGCATTTACTGACTTACTACAACACTTCTTTTTGGTATTAATTATATTTATTCCTGGTTATTGAGACTGTCTGTTCTGCTATTCCCCACTTTAAGCCCAA